TTCCCTGCCCCCAGCAGCCTCTTGCCTCCATCACTCCAACCCCTCATAGCATCATTCCACGACCACGGCTGGGTCGGGGTAGAAGGCAGGAGGCCAAGGATGGGACTGGGGAAGATTCTAGAGGGAGGATGGGATGGGGTGCTTATTAATTCATGGGCCTGGGTTTGTCCCCCCTGTTTCCACTCTGGGGCCCTCTTGATGAAGCCTTGAAATGTGGTGTCTTTCCGTCCTAATATTTGTGTGCTCCCCTCCCCTCTACTCACCAGCCCCAGTTCTGCATGCCTACCAAGGCCTCCTCCTCCCACACCCGTCTGCACCTACCCCAAGCTCCACTTAAACCCCTTTTCCTCATCTTAGCCCAAGAAGAAGCTGAATGCACCCTCAGACCGGGCCACACCCAAGATCGTGCCTTTTGATCTTCTGCCTGAGACTGAGCCTTTTGACCTGAAGCCTGAGACAGTGCCTGACCTCCCACCCTTTGACCAGACGCCTAGGACCCTGCCCTATTACCCAGAGCCCACTAGGCCTCTGCCCACCCCTGAGGAGCCGACAGCCGGTGGGGGTGCTTAGGGTCTCCTGGCTCACGTGGGGCCGTGGGCGTGGCATGTCATGAATCCAGTCCACCACCAGCTCACTGCTTAGCAGTGGCCAGTCTGGAGTGGCCAGTCTCTTCTAAGCCACTGCCCCTTGTGAGTGGGTGACGGGTACTGTGCAAACACTCACATTATGGAATGTTCAGGCAGTCGGGTGGGAGGTCACGGGAAAGGGCGTTCCTCTACTGCTTGGCTTCCATCTTAATAGTAGATGCTCCAGACACCTTACCGGAGTTGCACCCACTTCTGCCTGCATGAGATTGCCTGCAACATCCATGCTTCTGTGTTTTTCTTAATTTATTTAATTGGAGGACAATTACTTTACAATATTATGTTTTGCCATAGCTCAACACGAATCGGCCATAGGTATACACGTTCCCCTCCATCCTGAACCCTGCCCAGGCTTCTGACAGACCTTCCCTCCCACTTCCACCTCCTCCTCAGGGACAAGCCAGTTTGGCTCGAGGGCCCGTTTTACAGAGGGCCCTCATGAGGCCCAGACCAGGGGTCTGTTCCATGCCCTCTCCATGCCCCTCCCTGCAGCTGGGGAAAACACTTACACTTATTTTTTCCAGTTTTTTTTTTTTTTCCATAAAATGTTTTGCAAAGAGATCCGTTATGTTTGCCAGATCCTGCCTTTGGCAGGGCACCCAAAAGCTGCCAACTCAGAGAGGCCAGGAGGAGGTACACTTTTGCTGGATCTGGCCTACCTATGGCACAGTGTTTGTCCTTTTTTTTTCACATGATCATTCTCCTAAGGAGTCCTTTTAGACATTTTTCTTCCTAATTGTCCTCTTCCCTGTGAAATTTTAACACTATAGATATACTGTATACACCTGGACTCCCCCAACACCCCACCCAAGAACCAATTTCCACCCACTTTGGGGCAACATCCTCCCACATGCTAGAGTGTCATGCTAGAGCAGAAAAGAAGGTCCCTTTTGCCTTCAGTGTTTCTCATGCCCTTGTCCTGACAATCTAAAGTAGGGGTCCTGAGTTTTTAACACTTCCCTATCTCTCATCTCTCCCCTAGTCTGCATCCTCCTCTGACACACTCTGAGCAGATCCCAGGTCTCCGAATGACCTCTCCAGTGTCTTCTCTGGTCATTCCAGGCAGTGGTTGGGAACAGAACTGGCTAGCTCTAAGTCAAGAAAGGCCCTACCCAGAGCCATATCATACCCCTTCTCCCTGACAAATGTGAAGTGCCTGGCCAAGGACCAGGCACACAGTAGGTGCTCAATTAAATCATATAAAAACCTTCCTAAGGCAGAGGAGCTTAAGTTTATATAGTGAGGTCGGGGAGAGGAGAGGAAGGGGCTGGGAGCTGTCTTACGGCTCCTCTAAATTCATCCCAGACTGGTGCTTTCCTGGGTTGGGGAGCTGTGTGTGCTTGGGGGCGGGGGTCGAGGGGAGACAATGGAAGCTGTGCATGCTTTTGTTCAGACCTGGTCATTAAAGCTAACTCTGGAAACCAAGCCTGTTGGGACTGGTGGTTTTGTTTAATAAAAATATAGAAACAGAACAAGCAGAGCTCTCCCTTCTTGCCACCCTGAGGCCCCTCCTATGACTTAGGAGCTCTGCCAGGGAAGTAGGGGTGGGATAGGGGTGCCCGGCCTCTGTGCCCAGGGTTGGGGGAGGTGCTTTGGGATTCTGCTGCTGGTTGTTGTAGCAACAGGCCAACTGGGTGGGCCCAAGACAGCACTCCAAAGCTGTGAGTCATAGGGGAAACCTGGCTTGGAAACAGGGAGAAAAGACAAAATCCATTAATGGAGGGAAAAAGCTAAAGTCATAGTGGTATACCCTCTCCAGGGCCAATTCACTGGATATTATCTCAGACTTAGGTCAAATGGTTTCTTCCCTATCCCCTGACCTTCCACCAAGAAAGCAGTTCCTCTGGTGTAAGCCATTGCACTAGAGGAAGCCTCACAATGAAGGGCGATATATATATATATTATACACACACACGCACACACCATTCTAGTCTGGCAGAGACAACTCCAAATCCTCCTCTCACTGGGATTGCTCCCTGATGTTGTATTTGAGACCTCTCATCAGGCATTAGGAAGATGGGATTGGCTACAAGAAGTCTGGAACTCTCTCCAGCCTTGTTCACAGTTCAAGCTTTATCTAAGAAGCCAGAGGCCAGGAAAACCAGCCAGCTCAGGCCTTAGGGGTTGGACAGAGCAGAGGGGAGAATCAGGGATGCTGGGGTAGGGCACAGAGACAATGTGGATCTGTTTTCCAGCAGCAGGGACTGTTTCCTGGCTCTTCCCCACCCATCACGCTTAACCCTTCCCTTAATTCATCCACATTGCCTGAGCTTTAGTGAAAGGAAGTGTTCTCCTCCTAACTTTGGTGGTGTGGGTGGATTTTTAGACTAAGAGGCTGTGAAGGAGAAATCAAGAGCTGACAGTTTTTGATGCTAGGGCTGCCAGTGAATTCTGGGTGGATATGAATTAAGAAGTAACAGGGAGTTTAGATGATAATCCTAAAATGTTGTTTAAGAGAGAGGACTCTGGTAGCAGGTGGGGAGGTGATTGCACAAGGAGACCCAAAGTGTACAACTGGGAATCAGAGGGACTGCTAAGACAGGCTGAGACCCTCCCACACTCAGTGAGGAAAGTACCCCGTCAAGGCCTCTGCGAGTGATAAGAAGCAGAGGGATGGATAGAATGCTGCAGAATGCCCACCACAGGGCCCAGCCAGCTGTGGCAGGTGGAGACTACAAGTCCCAGCATGCCCTGAGCCCAGGTCACCTTGCCTGCTGGGAGGTGTAGTTGAGTAATGAGAGCCTGAGATGGCTTGGTGCCCAGCAGAGCTGATGCCCAGTTTGGGAGAAGAGGTGAAGCCAGCATTCCCTCTTTGTCCCTGCTAATGATATTGACAGGGAGGGAAGGAAGTTGGGAGGAGGTGTTCCTAGTTTTCAATGTAAACCAGGAAACTCTGTGGGGATGTAGATGGGAGGGAAGAGGAAAGAGGTTGGGGGCTGGGGAAGGAATTTCTATAGCAGGTGGTGCAGTGATACCAAACAGCAAACACATATGTGTACATGTTTATGTGTGTTTATAGGAGGGGTCAGTTTATGTTGCCTCATTTTTCTCAGATGGGGTTTTCTTACAATTCTGCGAAACGATCTTCAGAAAACCTATTCCCTATCATTCCTTTTACAATGTACCTAAAGAAGAGAGTCTGGGTCGAAGAGACTTTTGGGTTTTGTCTTTTGGGCCAAAAACAAACCCATTCTGGGTTATGTCCTCTTTTCCTTTCTGGGCTCAATCTCCCCCACCTTCTGCTGAGAGGTGATCCTGAGATTCTGAAATGTAGGTCCAGAGTCAGGATCTTGGAAAATCTTCCCGGAATGGAAAACAGGGCTGGTGCTGGGTCTTCCCAGGAGAAGAACTGGCTCTGAGATCTAGGATCTCACCGTCCTACCCCTGGCTCTTGAGCTCCTGTTTGGGGTTGGGGGCAGGTTGTGGTGAAGCAAGAATAGAAAAACAGTCCCTCCTTTCCATTCCAAGGCAGGGATGTCAGAACCAGAATAAACCTCCAGGTTGGGAAGAAAACACGTTCTCGCAGCCAGCTTCTTCCTCTTTCCTCAATTTCTACATAGGGGTGGAGAATGACCATTGGTGGAGCCAAACTGTATGGGGACAGGGAGGAGGTCATTAACTCCCCTTCCCTAATACTGGTCCTTCTGAAATTATACGAAGTCTGGGAAATGCGCTCCCTTGAAAATAAACCTGCCTTCAAGTTACCCTACTTCGGGGTCGCTTGAGATTGGCTGTGAGCTCACCCCTCAAACTAAACAAACTGCCCAAAGCCTTTTGGGCCTGGCTCGGGCAGTGTGGGGCTCTGTGCACTAGAGGGCGCTCTGACCATTTCCAAAGTTCTATTGTGAATTCTGGGACGCAAAGGGTAAGAAGTTATTTAATATGGGTGGTTGCGGGGCTCGAGGAGCGGGTTGGAGAGCCGCAGAGGTACTTGACCGAAGTGCGAAAACAGAATCCAGATTCTGATCCGAAGCTCGGTTCCCTCTTCGCTCTGTATGTGTGCTTAGTCGCTCAGTCGTGTCCGACTCTTTAAGACCCCAGGGACTGTAGCCCGCCAGGCTCCTCTGTTCATGGCGATTCTCCAGACAGGAATACTGGAGTGGGTTGCCTTGCCCTTCTCCGGGTCTACTTACTATTCATTCAACACATATTTGAGTGCTCACGAAGTGTTCAGCTCGGTGCCAGGCGCTGGTGATACCAGCGCAGAAGTCCAGGCCGATTTCACAGGTACCACGCACTCGCCAGGATCACAGGTGCCAATGCCCGGCCCCGGGTTCGCCCAGCGTCCCCCCAAGTCCCCGCCCAGCTCTCCCGCTCTTCCCCCACCCTCATCTGTTCCCTCTGATCTCCCTTTAGGATGAAGTGAAACTGCCGGCCAAAGTGAGCATAGGCAAGTCGCTGAAAGAGTCGGAGACGCTGCCCGAGAAGGAGGGCGACGAGCTGGCCGAGGGCGAGCGGCCGGAGGAGGACGCGGCGGCGCTCGAGCTGTCGTCGGACGAGGCGGTGGAGGTGGAGGAAGTCATCGAGGAGTCGCGCGCCGAGCGCATCAAGCGCAGCGGCCTGCGGCGCGTGGACGACTTCAAGAAGGCCTTCTCCAAGGAGAAGATGGAGAAGACCAAAGTGCGCACGCGCGAAAACCTGGAGCGGACCCGCCTCAAGACAAAGGAGAACCTGGAGAAGACGCGGCACACCCTGGAGAAGCGCATGAACAAGCTGGGCACGCGCCTGGTCCCTGCCGAGCGCCGCGAGAAGCTCAAGACCTCGCGAGACAAGCTGCGTAAGTCCTTCACGCCCGACCACGTGGTCTACGCGCGCTCCAAGACCGCGGTCTACAAGGTGCCGCCCTTCACGTTCCACGTCAAGAAGATCCGCGAGGGCCAGGTGGAGGTGCTGAAGGCCACGGAGATGGTGGAGGTGGGCGCAGAGGAGGAGGAGGGCGGCGCGGAGCGCGGCGAGGCGGCAGACCTGCTGCGCGGGAGCAGCCCCGACGTGCACACGCTGCTGGAGATCACGGAGGAGTCGGACGCCGTGCTGGTGGACAAGAGCGACAGCGACTGAGCCGGGCGCGGGGCTGTGCCCTGAAGACCGCGCCGCCCCGCCTCTCCCCGCCCCCGCCCCGATTCCTTTCCCTCCACGAACTTTCTCTTTCACATTCTCTCTCTCTCCCTCTCTCTCTCTCCGCCCCAAACGGGCTGAGATGTTTCTAAATTAAGAACACCTCCCCACAACGAGCACCCCCTCCAAGTCTTACAGCTATTAAGACGAGGAGGAGGCAGCCTGCACCATGGACAGCCCCACTGTAGGCGTAGGCTGGGTGGAAATGCAGAGGGCGGTGATTCGTGTCCTGGGGATCCAAGTCGGGAATCCTAGAGGAATTGCTGTCGTTTCCATGATTAGGCCCAGGCTTGGGGCAGGCTGTCTTCTCCCCGCCCCCCACCCCTACACACACACATTTACCCGGCTGCTGTCATTCCTGTTCACTGAGCTCTTCTTTCTCATTCTGATCTCTGGCGGCTTCAAAGCCAAAATTACCATGAAAGGGAAGAGTGCATCCTGAAGAGGCCCGTTGCCCACACGGGAGACCCCACACTGGAAGGATTTGAAAGCAGCTTTTGGGAGTATCTAGGGCCGTGCCGGAGAGAGGGCAGAGTAAGCCATGACCCTACATGAGGGTCTAGCACAGGCTGTATCTGCAAAAGGTCCCAGTAAGGAAGGCTGGATCTAGGCAGAGTGCTGGGGGAGGGAGGGAGGGCACTTCATGTTTATGCATCTGCACACAGGAGCACATGGCTATGGCTCTGAAGAAAAACGGAAAATAGTAGAAGGTGGAAATGGGCGAAAAGAGAATGCTCATTAGTAGCAGGAGAAACACAGGACAAGGATCCCATCTTACTGGGGTTCACAGAGGACAGCAGGCAGGACAATTTTTCAGAACTACTAGGGAGGGCAGTGTGAGAAATCCATCATCCAAGAAGAGAGCGGTAAGCTTTACCCCTTACCTGTACTGGTTGTGGTGCCCCCAGGGGCAGCCCATTTCTCATAGCCCAGAATATTAGGGTCCCAGAAGAGGGCAGCACCAGGCTCCAGAGAGCTGATATTATAGTCAGGAGGGAGGCTGATGGGAAAGAGACCAGATGCTAAAGGCCAGGCCACTAAATTGAGAGCAGGAGGGGAGGAGAGGAGAGTAAGGAATTCCTGTGTGTAGGGCAGCCCAGCCTTGGCTCCTGGCAGTTTCTTCTCAAGATCCTTCCCTAGAGCTAGTATCATAAAGCTGTAGAACATGCCAAGACCTCCTTAGCCTTGTGGGTTCCTCTCCTGAATCTTTGGGGTGAGGGGTGCTGCTTCCAGTTCAAAGGCCTGACTTCTGATCAGGTTCTTCTCAGGACACTTCAGTCTGTTCTTCCCCCATAAAGGGGACTTGTCAGAAGCAAGGACACCCCCCTCACCCCCAACTCACAGCCCACAGAGGAGAGCTGAAGGCTCCCTCCTCCCCTCACATCCTCTGCCTTATCTTCCCTGCTCTGCATTTTAGAAAATTGCAGCTAATTGTTTTAAGGGGTGGCGGGAGGGAGTCTGGGGACACACCTTTTATACAACACAAAGCTTTGCTTCCCCCCGCTCCCCAACCCTTGGTTCCCTTCTCTCTTCCAAATGGTTGGAGACACATCAGCTGAAGTAGGATGGGGATTGTGGGACGAGGTTCCTTGGTGCTGATGGGCTGAAGGGGCCTGAGTTGTGGGCAGATACAGTTTCCTGTGGGCTCTGGGGAGCCTCTCATGTTGCTGTGTCCTGGTGAGCAGCCCGACCAATAAACCTGCTTTTCTAAAAGGATCTGTGTTGGATTGTATTCTTCGAAGGCAGTTTCATAGGATGAGTTCCAGCGAACAGGAGGGAACCAGGGAGTGAAAGAGAGATGCTGCTAGTTTAAACTTGCAGGATCTGCCTGGATGGGTAGTGAGACTGGGGCGTTATTATCCCACTTAGAAATGGGAAGACATACACACAGAGTAACTTGTCTAACGTCCTATAGGTGGTAATTGGTGGGGCTGGGATTCTAAGGCACCCTGGCTCCAGTTTCACCGTGTCTGTAGTCCTGTAGTGTCTAGACCGCTTCTCTGCCTTCAGAGCCTTAGCCCTCCAGACCCACCCAGTTACTCTACTCAGCCTGAGCTCTACCCCCTTACAAATTCAGGCTGCCAAATCCGTCCTACAGGAGGCAGCCTAGGGGAGGGGAAAAGTCAGAGGCCTGAATATCATAGAAGGATTCCGGTGCATGCTAGAGATGCCAGTCATAGCCACACAGCATATTTCATTCTCCCTACAGCCCTGGGACAGGCACTTCTTTCATTGTCTGTACACCCTCTCTTCCCCATGAGCAGCCAGCCCTACCTGCTCACAAGTTAGGGATTTCCTAGAGCAAAGGAAACATTGTCATGTGAGTTCTGCCAGCATCAGAATCACCTGGGGAGGGGTGTCCAAATAAAGACAAAGTCATTTCTGGGGCTGTGTCCTGGCCTCGTAGTACCACCCCAAACAAGCTGAGTCCTTCCTCAGGAACCATCCACTTACCCTGGACTTCCCTGCTGCCGACCCCAGCAGCAAGCACGGCAGTCTTGGGTTCTAAGTCCCCCAGAAAGGGTTGGCATTCCTTCAGAAGAAACTGAGGATGAAATTCAGAGCCTGGGAGCCAGGAAACTTCCCCTCAGCCAGGAGAAGCATGTTCAGGATCCTCCTTCCTGCAGGATGCAGAGGTGCAGCTGTGAGAAGCAGGGAATGATGACAGGACCCCAGCTGTGGAGTAATGAGCTTGAGGGAAACCAGGAAGGGCCCTGGGATACCAGGCCATTGTTTACTTTTCTTACTCAAAGCAATAAGTTTCCTGGTCCTTTCCCCTTTGCTTCTGTAAGCCATCCTGCTCACTGGCCCACCACACTTTCAGTACCAGCCAAATTACTTTGCTGTAACTTCCCTACCCAGCTCTATTCTGGAAACCATTTTGTCAGAAGTAGCCCTAATTCTCTGAAGAGCCACTTTTCTGCCGGCCCCTGTTCCATGACATTCCTCCTTTACATCACAGTGTGGGGCCACAACTCCAGAAGCTCTGCTCAAGTCAGAAATTATTCCTTTTCTTCTTTGCTTGCAGCCAAAGGGAGGAGGAGGCTTTCATGAAATAGCTTCCTACCAATAGGATTTGATGGACATTCCAAGGTTCCATTCCCACAAAGCATCTTTTCCACCAACTGGACATCATTTTGCCCACCCATCATTAGCGCTATTTCCATGGGTTAGAATCAGACAATAAACTAGAGGTATTGTCTCTCGAAGGATCCCATCAAACATTATCTGTGTTGACCAAAAAAAAACAACCACAACCTAAAAGTTGAGAGTTATGTTTTCTTTGGCAGACATTATAAGGGCTTCAAACCTGGGACACAGCATCTCAGATAACACTGAAAAACTGCTCTGAAGAGGCAAGAGGGAGGAACCAGGATATTAAGCAGTTTTGCAAGAAAGGCCAGGTAGTCGGAACATTGAAGATTATTGTTAATTAAAGAAAACCAGACATCTCAAGTTAATGAAATTAGTGCTTCTTTATGTGTTGTTAGTCCTTCAGTCACGTCCTACTCTTTGCATGGACTGTATGTAGCCTGCCAGGCTCCTCTGTCATGGAATTCTCCAGGCAAGAATAGTGGAGTGGATAGTCTTTCCCTTCTCTGGGGGATCTTCCCGACCCAGGAATCAGACCCAGCTCTCTGGAGTTGCATGCAGATTCTTTATGTCTGAACCACCAGGTAAGCCCTTTTTATGGACGGGAAGGCGCAAAGTCTGCACTCATTAAATTCATTCCGCTGACAGGCACCTCACCTGGGCCTGGTGTCCTGTGTTTTCTCATTGTGAGTCTCCTCAGGTGTAGGGCAGTGGGTATAGGGGGTGGGAGGGGAGGATTCCAGCAGTTTACTGCAGAATGGTGGGCGATCTTAATTTCAATCCTGAGTTCCCTCAGGACTCACTGTCAGGGCAGCTGTAATACAGCACCTTGATTCAACATCTTTTGTTTACTGATAATTGTTGTTTTGTTTAGTTGCTAAGTTGTGTCCACCTCTTTTGCGACCCCATGGACTACAGCCCACCAGGCTTCTCTGTCCATGAAATTTTCCAGGAAAATTCTCTAGGGAACCTTCCCCAGTTCAGTTTAGTTCAGTCACTCAGTTGTGTCCGACTCTGCAACCCCATGGACTGCAGCATGCCAGGCTTCCCTGTCCATCACCACCCAGGGATCAAACCAGCATCTCTGCACCTGCACGCAGGTGGATTCTTTACCACTGAACCACCAGGGAAGCCCTTACTGATAATGGCAGGCAGCAATCTTTTGTCCACACCAGGGATTTAAGGGAGTTCCTCTACAGACTGAGTTATCAGATCTCTAAATAGTACTTCCAAAGTCCTTATCCCAAGAGGTAACTTTCTTCAGGGGCAGGAGAAGACAGCTGCATCATCTTACATTTGTCCAGACCTCATTTGCTCTCACCTGCAATATGTGACGGAGAAGGCAATGGCACCCCACTCCAGTACTCTTGCCTGGAAAATCCCATGGACAGAGGAGCCTGGTAGGCTGCAGTCCATGGGGTCGCTAAGAGTCGGACACGACTGAGCGACTTCACTTTCTTTTCACTTTCATGCATTGGAGAAGGAAATGGCAACCCACTCCAGTATTCTTGCCTGGAGAATCCCAGGGACAGAGGAGCCTAGTGGACTCCCATAGTGACTTAGCAGTAGCAGCAGCAGTATTTCAACTGCCTTTAGGTTCTTTCTAATCTATTCCCCATGTTACTGCCAGGTAGAGATAGATATATAAATATTTATGTTATTTATATAGTTTACTTATGTAGATATAGGTACATAGATTTTTTTATTTTTTTTAATGTTTTGGGTTTTTTTAGATTTTCTTTTTTAAAGAAAACATACTTTCCAGTTTAAATGTCTTCCTTTGACCAAAGGATTAAAGTCTTTGGCATGGCTCACAAGATACCTTAAGAGTCTGGCCCCATGGGACTTCC